CTCATCCCTTAAAAAATCCTGCTCAAAAGCAAGACTAGTAAAAGGCAAAAGCAGTTCAGAAACTCATTATTTTGCCCCTTTCAAAAAAAAAAAAAGAAAGAAGAAAAAAGGTGTGTGTGTGAGGAGTAGGTGGAAGCCTGCACACTCCAGAACTTTGGCTAAAACCTCAGAAGCTTCCAGAAAGAGGTAGGCTTTTTTTTTTTTTTTCCCTTTTCTTTTTCAGCCCAGAGGAGGCCACGTCAGTGGGACCAGCACTTTCCCCAGCTCAGGGGAAAAAGAGGCAATTTATGGCTCAGGGAACAACCTTAAAATAACTCTCCCTCAGTCTTAAAATGTAGTGTTTAAATTTATAGAAAAAGCCACAGGTTCCTGGCAGCTGGGTGCTGGCTGGGGCAGGCCACACTTCACCCCACCTCTGCCAGGCTGCCCTCCTCCATCAAAGCTGCCCCCTCTCCCCCCACACCCGCCCTACACCCCAGCTTCCAAGCAGTCAGACCAGGGCTGTGATTTTTCAAAAGATGCAAAACTTTTTTTTAATAAAAAAAAAAAAAACCAACAAAAGTCTTATAAAAATGAACCAGGGAGCCAAAATGCCCACCTGTCTTCCTATTTTACAGTAATACAATATCTGTCACAGTCACTATGTACAATATTATAAAAAATGTCGAAGACAGTACAAATTAAGGCTGTATTTCTCACAAGGCATCAAGCCTCGATCCTCTAGTGTAGACCCGGTGGGGGGGTGGGGAAGACGACACTTAATTATTGCACCATTTTGAAAACAAAACTCGTCAAGGAGGATCGTGGTCTTCTCCCACCGGGTCTTCAGTCTCTGATGGGGGCCGGGCCGTCGTCGTCGTCGTGGGGCTGGGGGAGCCTCCTCAATGGCCACGCCGTGCCCAGCCCGGTCCTCTGGGCCCAATAAATACCAGTCACAGTTTGGAGGGGGCCGCGCCCGGCGCGTGGGACCCGCCACGGCCGCGCGCGGGTGGGGGGGTGGGGGGGCGTCCAGGCTACATGTGCCGCTTCATGTGCAGCGCCAGGTGGTCGGAGCGCGAGAAGGCACGGTCGCACAGGTGGCACTGGAAGGGTCGGTGGCCTGTGTGCTTGCGGTAGTGGCGCGTCAGTTCGTCTGAGCGCGCGAACTTCCAGCCGCAGCCGTCCCAGTTGCAGTGGTAGGGCTTCTCGCCTGCAGGGAGGGGGCGAGAGCGGGCCTCAGTTTGCTTCCCATGTACTCGCCTGTGACCCGGGTACGCACACGCTCCCTGCGACAGTGACTACTGGGGCGCGCGAAGCCTATCCCTAACCAACGCCCAAAGCTGTGGGGGGACCTATGTTTTGGACCTCTAGGGATCCCAGGCACACGACCCTAGCTCTCGAACCCCCTGATTCTCGTCCCCCAGGGCGCCCAAAGTGCACACTCTCCACTCCCCAGCGCTTCGAGCCACGCCCCCGGGGGAGTCCTAAACTTGCATCCTCTCTCCAGCGTTCTGACACCCAGCGCCCCCCTAGGTTTCCTAGGCGCGCGCACCCTCTGCCCAAAGCCCTGAGCCACGCTCCCAGGAGGGTCCAAAGTGTGCGTCCCTTCCCCAACATTCTGATACAGGGTCCCCCGAAGGTTCCTAAGTGCGCACTCCCTCCCCAACCACTAGAGCCACGCCCCCAGTGGAGTCCTAAGCGTGCGACCCCCTCCCAATCTTCTTGGCCACGCCCTCGAGGGGGGTTCCTAAGCGCTCGCCCCCCGTCGCGAGCCCCCCAGCCACCGCCCCCAGCCGGCGTTCGCCGCCCACCTGTGTGCGTGCGCAAGTGCGCCTTGAGGTGTGAGCTCTTGGTGTAGGTCTTGCCACAGCCCGCGTAGCTGCAGGTGTGCGTGGCGGTGCGCTTGCGCGGCCAGGAGCGGCGGCCACGCTTGGGCTTGGCTTCGAGCAGCTCCAGCGGGGACGCGGGAGGCGTGAGGAGACCTCGGGCGGCGGGCGGCGCCAGGCCCAGAGCTGCGGCGGCGGCGGCGGCGGCCGCGTCGTCGAAGAGACCGAAGGCGGCGGGCGCGGGCGGCGCGTAGTGCAGGCCGGGCCCGGGCGCTCCGAAGCCGGGGCCGCCGAAGGGCGGCGGGAAGGGGCCGCGCGGACCCGACGCAGGCAGGCGCGCGGGACCGTCGGGGCTGAGCGGCGGCGTGTCGGGCGGCGGCGGGGGGCGGCCCCCGGGGCCTCTCATGCACGCAGCGGCAGGGCCCGGGGCGCCCTCGCGCTTGAGGCCCCGCGGCCCGCGGGCCAGGCCGGGCGCGCAGCCGTAGCCTCCGCCGCCGTCCGCCTCGGGGGGCTCGGCCTTCACCAGGCGGCCGGGTGGCGCCAGCAGGAAGCGGCCGTGCAGCGCGGGCCCCGGCGGCACGTCCAGCTCGGGCCGCAGCAGCTCGGACACCAGGCCGCCCGCAGGGGCGCTGTAGGGCGGCGGTGCGCTGGGCTCGGGATAGTAGAACGCAGGCGGCGGGGGCGGCGGGGGCGGCGGCGGCGGCTCAGGGGCTGCCTCAGCGCCAAGGCCGTCCAGCCCCATGGACAAGATGAAATCCAGCACGCTGTTGAGGTCGTCGTCGGTGCCGCCTGCCTCGGGCTCTGCGCGCGGCCAGCGCTGCGGGTGACAGAGCGATAGGGTGCGGGCGTGAGCGCGGGTCAGGTCTCGGCGATCGCCGCCCGCCGCCTGCGTTCTATTACCCTGAGCCCACTGTTCCCGGGGCTTTTTTACACTGAGCCCGTTTTACAACACTGAGCCCGCAGTCCCCGCCGCCTGCGTTCTACTACCCCGCAGCCCACATTTTTACTACCCTGAGCCAGCTGCCCCCGCCGCCCGCGGTCCTGGCCGCCCCCGATGCCCCTGCCGCCCTCACCTCCTGCAGGCCACGCTCGCGGCACGGACTGGCGAAAGTGGAGAAGGACGGCAGGATGGGCTCGCTCAGCGCCATGGTTGGGACCTGGGGCCGACGCGGGTTCGGGACACCGGTGAGTGGTTGCCCGGAGTCGGGCTGATCGGGGTGCGGGCGGGCGGGCGGGGACGCTCTGCGGCCCGCGGCCGGGCCCGCCCAAGCCTTATAGGCGCGGCGCGCGCGGGGGCCGGGCCAAAGCGGCGGCGGCGGAAACGCGTCCCGGATGGGGACGAGCTCCGGGCGCAGCCTAAATTTAGCCGCGGTATATAAGCCGGCGGGCGGCGGCGGCCGTGGCCATTGCGGCCGCCAGGGCTCTGCGCAGCCTGGCCGGCCCCCTGCGCACTGCCAGGCCGCGCCCCCCTCCTGGGCCCGCCCCCGCCTGTCTCCCCGGCGACGCGTCAACACGCGCTCCACAACAGCAGCGTGACGCCCAGGGATCCCCGGGGCGCCCCGTGGGCTCCCGCCTGCTCGAGGACCTGGAGCGGAGGCGGCATCCGGGGACCCGGGACTCAGAGTGGAGCACTGGGTCCCCCGGCCTCCGGGGATCCCTGATGTATGGGGAGAATGGTCCCCAACGCCTCAGAGGGGTTCCCAGAATCCCTGGTGATGGGCGAGATTGACCCATAGTTTCAAACGGGGTTTCTAGAATCCTAGATGGATGGGTGGGGTTCCCGGGACCCCCGATGCAGCGGGGATTGGGGTCCCCAGGATTCATAATGGGTGGGGAAACTCGGCCTCTCATTTTCCGGGGGCCCGCTAAGCCTGACCCACTGTTATGCCCGACCCACTGTTATGCCCATCGCTATGTAAAAAACCTTGTGTGATGACCTTAACAAATGTTAAGTCCTTGAGACCAGGGGTCTCTTAAGGAAGCCCTCCAGGGAAACTGAGGCCCAAGGGGCTCTGGGAGAGGCTTGCCGTCCTTTACTGACTTGCATTAAGTGTAGAAGCTGAAGACAAGGGTGACAGTCTCCCCTCCAACACAGACCCAGCACTGGGCGGAAGCAGCGGGTGGCGGCAGGGGACAGGGAACAAGCTTGTCCGGTGGGCATGTTGAATATACCACCTGGGTTGCTGGCAGCACAGTCTTGCCAGCAAAGGACTGTCACTACCATTGTTACTGTGTGCTGGCCCTGTGTAGGCTGGGAGAGCCCAGCGACCAAGAGCCAGACAAATCTGCCTGCTCTTGGGGGCTTCCCCTAGGGGGTATAAAATAAACAAGTATATTGGGGATATGAACCTTTTGGAAACATAAGGCAGGGGGTGCAAGATACAGCGCGGAGGGGACTAGGAAGCAAGTGAGTGTGAGCAGGGAGAGAGGGGATGGTGAAAATTTGAACCTCACCTCACCCAGTGCTTTTATGAGTCAAGACCTGGAGAAAGGGGGAGCCACGTGAGTCCTAGAGGGAGAGCATCTCATGGTGTAACCCAGAGCCGGTATCCAGCTTTGGTCTCTTGACTCCAGAATCTGTCTTCCGGACCTGGAGGCATCCAGGGTCTTCTTCCGTCCCGTGGCCAGGTGTTTACGGGTTCAGGAAGCTCCTGACCGGGACACCTTCTCTGGGGCCAGGAACGCTTTGCCACGGACAGCAGCTGGACTACCACAGCCCAGGACCACTGCATGGTGGTGGCCTTGGCACCACACAGGCATCAAGGGGCCCCTCTGGGGTCCACAATGCTGGACCCTCCCAGCTGGAAGGCACCTCAGAGGCGCATCACGTCTCCATGAATCATCCAACTGTGGGTTCAGCAAACGCACTGATGAGCCCCATTCGTCAGGCGCCGGGGATCCGGGGGTGCTGGGGGGGCAGGGATCCTCCCTACAGCTTCCCTGGGCTTTGGGAAACTTCAGCTGGAATGGTGGCTGCCACCACAACGACGGAGAGTCAGCCTCAGCCACAGACTGCTGGCTGTGTGACCTTGGGCAAGTGGTTTTGCCTCTCTGGGCTTGCTTCTTCATCCGTAAAACACAGATGATAATGGTAGCTTACCCCACAGTGGTTCTGTGTGTGTGTGTGTGTGTGTGTGTGTGTGTGTAAGTGCTGGTGACATCCTGTGAGCCCTCTATAGTTTTTGGTTAAATGAGCCACCTGTATACTTTTCTCACTGCTTTTACCTGAGCCTCTGTTTCCGCATAGGATAATGAGGCAAAGATGAAGGGAATCGAATTTGGTCCCCAAGGCATATGATTCTCTGGTCCTCCTCTCCACCTCGGACGGCTCCTGCGGCTCCTTCCAGCCCATCCTTCCTCCTTTCTTGGATTCCTTGCAGGTCCCGGAAGGGACCAAGCCCGTACTCCATGCCAGGCCTTTGTACTTGCCGTGTTCTCTACCAAGTAATTCTTTCCCTCACTTCCCACTTGCTTGGCTCTGGCTCATCTTCCCTTGCCACCCCCTTAACTAGTGAACTTAAATTTTTAGGGTGCTGTTAGGTTTACAGAAAACATGAGTAGGAAGTATACAGAGTCCCCATGTCCCCCCACACATGCCGTTTCTCCTGGCAGTATGTGATACATTTGTTAATACTCGATGAGCCAGTATTGATGCATTGTTACTAACTGAAGTCCGCCTAACTAAAGTCCGCAGTTGACACCAGTGTCTCCACTCTTGACGTTGCACCTTGTATGGGTTTTGACAAATGCACGTCATGTATCCACTTTTACACTATCATATGGAGTAGTTTTGCTGCCCTAAAAGCCCCCCTGGTCCCTACCTCTCCTTCCCTCCCTCCTCCCTAACCCCTAGTTAGGTACCATAGTTTTTTATCTTTTTCCAGAATCTCTCCAGTTGTTGCTCATACGTAGTTAGTTTCTTTCAGCTGGCGTCTTTCACTTAGCAATGGGTATTTTAAGAGTCACCCATGTCTTTTGATGGCTTGAGTACTCATTTCTTTTTTGTTGCTGAACAATATCCCATGGTATGGATGGATGGACCACCGTTCACCTGTTCGCCTGTTGAAGGACATCTTGGTTGCTTCCAGTTTTGGGCAATATAGTTGCCAGGTCGGATATACACTGAATATGGCTTCATGGACACATTTTCAGATTAATTGGATATATCTAGGGACACAATTGGTGGATCACAGGCTAGCAGTGTGTTTCACTTTGTAAAAAGACCACCAAGCTGTCCTCCAGAGTAGTACTACCATTTGTGTGCCCACCAGTGGTGAAAGAACAAGAGTTCCCATTGCTCCACATCCTCGCCAGCATTTTGTGTTGTTGGTTTTTTTTGTTTTTGTTTTCGTTTGTTTTTTTTAGCCATTCTAATAGGTGTGTGGTGGTATCTCATTGATGTTTTTAATTTGCAGTCTCCGGATGACGTCTGATGTGGAGCCCCTTTTCATTCGCTCATTTGCGAGCTGTATATCTTTGTCATTGAGAGGTCAGTTCAGACCTTTGGCCCAGATTTTAACTGGGTTGTTTGTTTTCTTATGGACTTTTAAGCATTATTTGTATATGTTGGACACCCATCCTTTATCAGACAGGTGATTCGCAAAGATTTTCTCCTAGTCTGCGGCTTGGGTTTTGAATCTCTAACAGTACCTTTTGGAGAGCAGAAGTTTTTTATTTCCAGGGAGGCCAGTGTATCATATTTTCCTTTTAGGATTGTGCTTGGGTCTTTTATGTATAAAATCGCCAAGGCCACAGTCGTCCTGATTTGCCCCTATGTTTATCATCGAGAAGGTTTATAGTTTTTGCATTTTATACTTCACTGAATGATCCATCTTGAGTTAAAAACAATTTTTTTTTTTTTTTTTTTTTGGCCTATGGATCTCCAGTGGTCCCAGGACCATTTGTCGGAAAGGTCAGGGAGCTTGTCTGTGCATTTCAGCCTGGCCCTGTCTTCCAGGCTCCGCTGACCCAACACCAGGCCTCCCTGTGCTGCATAGTTCCCTTCTCTGACCCCGCTTTTTAGGACTTGTACTGCAGTGCTTTTCACTGTTGGTCATTCTTTTATCCATGGGTTCCTTTTTTTTTTTTTTTTCTTTCCTGTCATGCCCACAAGCAGTGCATGACCTGGGGGGAAGGCAGGAGCCAGGGGCCTGGCCCAGCGCGTGATACACACTCAGTCAGCATCCAGCAGGTGGGTGAGCAAGGAAACGAGCGGATTTCTCTCCCGCAGCTCCTCGGAGGAACTTCTGTAGGGGGCTCGCCGCTCCTGCAGGACTCTCCACAGTTTCTTCTCCGTCACCCAGCTTTCTGGGACCTTCCTTGTCACCACAGCCAATGGGTCGAACATGTCCCAACACATATGCCCACTTCCTAACCCCGGGTGCATGTGACTGGGACCTGATTTGGAAAGAGGGTCTTTGCAGGTGTAATTAAGGGTCTTGAGGTGAGATCATCCTGAGTTAGGATGGGCCCCGAATCCAATGATCAGTGTCCTTAGAAGAGAACGGACATGGAGTCACAAGCACAGAGAAGATGTCTAAGGGAAGATGGGGGGGCAGAAATCACAGTAATGTAGCCCCAAGCCAAGGCACTCCTGGATGTCCCTCCTGGGACTGGTTCTGCCTCAGAGCTTCATCAGAAGGATGAACCCACCCTGTCGACACCCTAATTTCAGACTTCTGGCCCCCAGAACTGTGAGAGAATACATGTCTGTTGTTAAACCACCCAGTTTGTGCCTTTTTTTTTTTTTTTTTTTTTTTTTGCGGTGGCCCCAGGAAGCTCATACATCATGGTAACCATCTGTTCTCTCCCTGGCTTCCTCTCCAGACAGGGAGCCCCCCAAAGGCAGGGGCCTCCCTCGATTCATCTCTGTGTCTCCCAGGCCCAGCTGTGGACCTGGTGTTGAAACAAACATGATGCGGGGATGCCGGCCACCCACCGAGGACCTCCCAGGGCAGTGTGAGACACTTTGGCACGGCACCTGGTGAACAGAGCCAGCCCCCGGAACCACCAGCAATTGGGAAGAACGTGGACTTCAGTTGCCACTTTACCTGTATGACCTTGGACATGTCCTTGGACCTCTCCGAGCCCTCAGTGTCATTGGGAGACAGGAGATGGCACGTGTCAAGAGCATCGGCTGCCTGATTATGAACATGAGTGAGCGAGCCAGATGGGGGATCCCAGGCTGAGGGAGGGACCTGGTACTTGGGAGGAGGGCTCAGAGCATGGCCCCTCTCACCCTGCTCTCTAGGCCACACATTTCTATGGGAGTGGGTCCTGGTGGCATCTCAGGTGACAGTGCCTTGGGAGAAAAAGTCAGATCCCCAGGGCGGCCTCTTCCCAGCTCGGGGACATACCCTCTGCTGAACTTCACAGCCTCTGAGCAGCCTGTCCCATCACTTGCTAAGTGGGGGAGAATGAGGTGTGTCTACAGAAGTTACATGATCAGGGGCTCCTGGGTGGCTCAGTGGGTTAAAACCTCCGACATGGCTTGGGTCATGATCCCAGGGTCCTGGGTTCGAGCCCCACATCGGGCTCTCTGCTCAGCGGGGAGCCTACTTCCCCCTTTCCCTCTCTGCCTGCCTCTCTGCCTACTTTTGATCTCTGTCAAATAAATAAATAAAATCTTTAAAAAAAAAAAAAGTTACGTGATCAGTGAGTGGCCCCATAATGCTGAAAGACAAGCAAATGAGCACCCTTCTCCCCAAGTGTCACTGGTAAGTTCCAAAAGGGTAGGGTCTGTCTCTGTGTCTGTGCCTTGCTGTCTGCTTCACAGTGGGAAACTTTGTGCCTCTTGATGGTGATGCCTTCACTCTCATGTTGTTCCAAGGCCTCCCATCCTCTCCTAACAAGTCAGCATTAATCGTCAAAGACGGGGGGTGGGGTGGGAAGATCATTTCCCTCCAATCCACTGATACTGTTTTGAGCACTGTGCTGGCATGGATTCTGAGATTGTTTCCAGGCTCAGCACTCGGAAGCAGTGCTGTGATTGATTGGTGATGTCTGTCTGTGATTGGTGATGTCTGTTACTGTGAGAGGCTTGGAGGAATGGTGCATATGCTACTTTGCATTTACCATCTCCTGCCATCTATGCTTAAGGGCTCACGATGCTCACAAATCAGAAGTTTTTAGTCTCAGCACCTCATAAATATTGAGCTCCCTCTCCATGCTCTGCTGGACCTGGAGAGAAAGCTAAAGAAGTACACAGCCCCTTTCTGCCCACAGAGAGCTTACAATCTCCTTTAACTGGGTCCTTACCATTTCTAGTATCCTTCACTTCTTGCTACTTTTCTTCTAGAGTCTAGACTGCCTCTCCCTTTACCAGCTGTTCTGCCCCAAATAGCTATTGTGTGCACTTGGCCCAACTCCCGAGAGCAAGCACTTAGGAATTCTACAGAAAACACGTCACCTAAAATACAGCTGAGCTTCCAAGACAAGTTATGAATGCTCTAGAGGAATTGTATTTGCATGACAGCAGCAACTGGACAATGACTCCCAGCTGGGGTGATTAGGGTGTTTCTGCCTAGGTTTGCGCAAGCTTTCTGCAGCGTGTTGCCAGACTCAGCTCCCCCTGTTGCAAAGAGGTTTGGCAGCTTGGCGTTTCTTGGGGATGGGAAGTCATGTGGGCAAGGACACCCTTTGCGAGTGGGTTTCTTATCATGGGTCACCACCTCGCTGCTGCTGTGCTCAGAGGCCCGAAGCCCCAAGAGAAAGGGCACTTTCCCGTTTGCCTCTCCGTCTCTGGGACTCTCTTGTTGCTTACAAACAATTAAGTAGTGATATGTGGGGGAAGGTGCCAAAGTTTCATTTGGTTGGTGACTGATGGATTCCCAAGAGAATCCTCCATCATCTCCTCACCACCATGATGGTCTTAGTCTCGTTGATACAGAGGACAGGAGAGGAGGAGGGAGCAACACTTATTAAGCACCTACTGTATGCCAAGCTGTACATTGAAGAATTGCATATGTTTCCTTATTTAATCCTCAAGCATATCTGTTTAGCATGGTGAGCAGTGGATGGAAGAGGGGGGCTCAGATAGAACCTTAGGTCAGATCCTGGCTCTGGCACCTGCAGCTCGGTGACCTTGAATGAGCAGCTTTCTCTCTTTGAGCCTTAGTCCCTCATCCATCAAAGGGACACGAGAGTGCCTCATCACATGCTGATGAAGATAAGAGACACCACATAGAAAGGACTTTTCCTAGAAGAGGCCTTCCCATTCTGTTAGCTGTGTTTAGGGGCCTCAATCAAGGGCTGGCATACCCTGGCTCGTGGCTCTTTAAAAAATATATCAGAGGGCACCCGGGTGGCTCAGTGGGTTAAGCCGCTGCCTTCGGCTCAGGTCATGATCTCAGGGTCCTGGGATCGAGTCCTGCATCGGGCTCTCTGCTCAGCAGGGAGCCTGCTTCCCAATCTCTCTCTCTGCCTGCCTCTCTGTCTACTTGTGATCTCCGTCTGTCAAATAAACAAATAAAATCTTTAAAAAAATATACATATATATATATCAGAATGTCAATAGTGTTATTCTTTATCTTTTGTGTATATTCTAATGTTAATTATATGCATGTATATTTGTGTATATAATTTTTTATTGAGGTGAAATTCAGTTAATATAAAATTAACTTTTTTAAAAAAGATTTTTATTTATTTGAGGGAGAGAGAAGAGAGAGCATGAGCAAGAGGGGCAGAGGGAGAGGGAGAGAGAATCTGAAGCAGACTCTGCACTGAGCACAGAGCCCAATGCGGGGCTCGATCTCACGACCCTCAGATCATGACTTGAGCTGAAATTAAGAGTTGGGTGCTCAACAGACTGTACCACCTAGGTGCCCCGAAAATTAATTGTTCTAAAGATTTTATTAATTTATTTGTCAGAGAGAGTACAAGCAGGAGGGGGAGAAGCAGTCTCCCCACGGAGCAAGGAGCCGAATGCAGGACTCGATCCCAGGACCCCAGGATCATGACCTGAGCTGAAAGCAGACGCTTAACCAACCGAGCTGCCCAGGTGCCCCTAAAATTGTTTTAAAGTGAACAATTCAGGAGCATTTAGAACATTCACAGTGTTGTGCAACCATCTCCTCTACTTAGTTCTGGAACATTTCCACCACCCCGGAACAAAACCCCACGTTAGCTGTCCCCGCCCCCCCCCCCCCCCCCCGGCCACCACCAGCCTGTTTTCTGTTTTTGGGGATTTGCCTGTTCTGGACATTTCATATCAATGGAATCACACATTATGTGACCGCAGCAGCTCTGGCTTGGCTAACAGCTAACCATGGTTGTACATTTATGAATGGCTGGGGAAAAAAAAAGAGTATTTTATGGTATGTGAGAATTCTACGAAAATCAAACCTCAGTGTCCATGTGTATGCTTTCCTGGCACAGGGCCAGGCCCGTTAATGGATATATTAAGACTCTATGTAGGGGAGGGGAGTGAATGGCCAGTAAGCAGAAAATACGGTCTCTGGCCCGAGGCTCCGAGAAGCTGGTTCTACAGGGAGAAGCCAGCAGAACGGCCTTTGGACACCAGAGTCTCCCCAAACCACTGCTGCCTTGCTGTGTGCATTTAATAGATGCTTATGGAATACATCTTCCTGGCCAGGTGCTGGAGAGTGAGCTATCAGCCAGAGTAAGCTGGTCCCTGTCCGAGCTTGGTTCCCAGGTGTTTAATCCATAACTAGACAGATAAATACGGGGGTGAATCTGAAGACAGCCCTTAACTCAACGGTTTGGATTTTCAGCAGCAGGAATGTCTCAGGCACCTAGTCCTAAAGGTACAGTTTGTTAGCGAAGACACACTTGAGAGCAATTTTTTTTTTTTTCCGCTTAGATTTTTTGTTGTTGTTCTTACCTCTAGACCATGACATCTGGGCTAGGGCCTACTTTTTACATTGTTTACAATTCAAAATTTTTACTTAGATTTTGAATTCTTAGATTCCATTTAGACGGATTTATTTTTATTTTTTAAAAAGTTTAAAAGTTGTATTTTAGATTAAAATGTGAAAGCTTTCATTTAGGTTTGCTTTTATTTAAGAATTGAAAAGTTTCTTTAGATTAAAATCTAAAATTTTACTTAGATTTATTTTTATTTTACTTAAAGCCTTTTGATTCTCTTTAGATTATGATGTTTTGTTTTATTTAGGATTATTTTTATCTTATTTGAAACTTAAAAACTTTTTCCTTAGCTTCTCTGTGGGGGTCATCTACATATGGTAAAATTTACCAAGCAGTGCACATCACCATGATCCGGCTTTTGTACTTTTCTTTTTTTTTTTTTTTAAAGATTTTATTTATTTATTTGAAAGAGCAAGAGAGCACAAATTGGGAGGGACAGAGGGAGAGGGAGAAACAGACTCCCCACTGGGCAGGGAGCCCAACTGGGGGCTCAATCCCAGGACCCTGGGAGCACGACCTGAGTTGAAGGCAGACGCTTAACTGACAGCCACCCAGGCACCCTGGCCCTTGATGGTCCCTCTCCACACCTACCCCTGGCCCCAGGCAACCATGAATGTGCCACTTTCTGAGTCTCTAGATTTGCTCTTTCTGGACATTTCATAGAAATGCAATCATATAGTGTGGTCCTTTGTGTCTGGCTTCTTCCACTGAGCACTGCTTGCCACTTGCCACACTGCCGTGTGTCCCTTCTTCACACAGCTGAGGAGCATTCTGTTGGATGGATGGATGGACAGATGGACGGACAGACCATGTCTTGAGGGTCCGCTTCACCTGTTGGGGAATGCAGGCTGCCACACTCAGAGCACTGTAATTCTGTTCTATCCTTGTCACCTCTTGGAGGCCAGGGGACAATCCCACAGTCAGAGCCTAGAAAAGGCAGGAATGTCTCTCCCCACTTTGAGGCTCCTGGCCTCCCCTGTCTGGGGGCGTCCTGGGGCTCCAGCACTGTTGACTGTGGGGTCACCCCTCGGGACAGCTGCTCAGACTCCATAGGCACCTGACACTCCCCGTGGCTTGTTCTGGTTTAACGTCTTGAGCGGGGGAGCTCGCTTTGAATCAACGTCTGTCCCTTCCACTGGGAATAGCCTCGAGCGTGTTGATTCACCCCGATGACTTATAGGACTGCAATCGGGGCGGAAAATGATGACCTTATTATGTAATTATATCATTACATTTATTATTAATAATGACAAGAACTCAGCGGGCTGGCCCACGCTCTGGGTAAATCACGTAAGGGCCTCATTTAACGTTATTAAACTTTGTTTATAAATTTCTACATCTTTTGGGACAGGCAACTGGGTATTTCTGAATGCCCAGAACAACGTCTTTAGAAAAATAAAGGGGGGTAAATACTTTTCAGATCTATTCTTTTTCACTTTCTAATTTTTTTTATCGAGTTGAAATTCATGTAACAAAGTTAACCATTTTATTTTTTTAAAGATTTATTTATTTGAGAGAGAGAAAGAGAACATAAGCAGTGGGGAGGAGGAGAAGGAAAAAAAGACACCCCCTCCCCCAGCTGAGCAGGGA